GTGTATATATATATATTGTCTTTTGATGTTGACATTCATGTTTAAATTGTGCATTTATATAGCTTTTACATTGATGCCCACTGTTACCTTATTTTTTGACTGACAATGATGGGATTTCAGTCATGCTCAGCCTTTCCAACAGTGCCAGTGATGGGATTTTTTGAAATCTTATTACTGGTTGCACTGCCTTGATCTCAGATAGAACTTTCAATCAAAAAGGCAATCAGAAGGTTATACATTCGTGAGATTCCCTGCAAAGCCAGTGATCGCATAATACAACTTGTTGGAAAGGCCTACTTGCCTCCAGTCCTTATGTGGCTATAAAGAGTAATTGGCTACTTAGCTCTCAGCACCTGCTTTCCTTCTCCAAAATACAGCATAGCCCAGAACTCTGTGGGGTCTCAGTGTGGAATCTGGCTGCTCCTAGGAGATTTCCAAGTTTCATGCAGAGACGTGTCTTACTTTAAGCATCTGATTAAGCAAACTCTCCCAAAGATACATTTGGCTCTTTCTAAGCATTCTTGTTTCACTGGTGATGTCAGTGAATCTAAGTTTTATTTTATATACATATGAACACTCACCCACACACGTCTGCAAGACACTTTACTGTAAAGTTTATATCCTAGAAATAGCAGTTCTGCATGGCACGGCTACCCACCCCGGTATTCTTGGGCTTCCCTTATGTCTCAGCTGGTAAAGAATCCATGCGCAATGTGGGAGACCTGGGTTCAATCCCTGGGTTGGGAAGATCCCCTGAAGAAGGGAAAGGCTTCCCACTCCAGTATTCTGGCCTGGAGAATTCCATGGACTCTATAGTCCATTGGTTCGCAAAGAGTCGGACACAACTTAGTGACTTTAAATGTAATAAATGGCAATTCTAACACTTGGATTTTATTTCTAGCATGTTTTAATCATCCTATTATTAATATAAACTTTTAAGTCTTATTACAGTACTCATAAAATATTATTATAAAGAATTGCCTCAATACTCTTTAGTGTACATGTATGGATGTTTAAAAGAAATTTCTGCAATTTGATTTGATCAAATAGTGAGCAAGGTTGAGGCTGAATTGATCCCATGTGGTGTCCAGTTACCCAGGGATGCCTCAGTTCCCAGGCAGGAACCTTGAATTGTGAAGTAGGCAGCGGGAGATAATTTTGTCTCACTTGGCTTCAACTCACTGGTTCTTCTCCAGTATTTAGAGAACCCTTGAGTGGGATACATTTAAAGAAAGGGGGGGGGGGATCTAATGCTTAGAACACAATAACGATCCATAGACACATTAAAATGCCTATGGACTGAATAAGCATTTCATTTGCAAAATAACTACACATGCATATGTAAGACATATGTCAGTATTGCTGCAATAGAAAAACCACGCACAGAGACAAAACTTCATTGTTCGGTTGCTAAGTTGTGTCTGATTCTTAGTGACCTCCTGAGCCGCAGCACTGCAGGCTTCCCTGTCCTTCACCATCTCCCGGAGTTTGTTCAAACTCATGTCCTTTGAGTCGGTGGTACCATCCAAACATCTCATCCTCTGTCGCCCCCATCTCTCCTGTCCTCAATCTTTTCCAGCATCAGGGTTTTTCCAGTGAGTCAGCTCTTTGCCTACAGTATTACGGTGACAAAAAATGCACAGAGACAAAACTAGTCACTTTGGTATACTCAAATCCTACAAGTTTGAAAACCCAATCAACTTCTTGATGCAGGACGTTTTAGCAATTATACTGCTAAAGTAAAAAGTACTTTAAGTCAATGTAAGAGTGTGTGTGTGTGTGTATATATTCTTCAGATCTTTATTTAAAGTCATGGTTGCATGCATGCTCGCTCAGTCATGTTTGACTCTTTGAGACCCCATGGACTATAGCCTGCCAGGCTTCTCTGTCCATGGGATTTCCCAGGCAAAAACACTGGAGTGGGTTACCATTTCCTCCTCCAGGGGATCTTCCCAACCCAGGGAGAGAACCCACCTCTCCTGAATTGTCAGGTGGATACTTTACCACTGAGCCACCCTGGAAGCCCATACTTATTTAAATTTGGGGTACTCTAAAAGTGTAGTTCAGCCTTACATGAATATGGCATAATTTACTTGATTGCATATTATAAAACCTTAAACAGGCTCTTAAGCACAAAGAGTCAGCATAATAGTGGCAAAGAAAATCAACAATAAAACCACACTTTCTTTCTCTCTTCTTGGGCAAAGTAAATTTTGAGATAAGATTGAACAACCTGTATGCCAAATAATATCTCCTGCCCATGAAAATCACCCTATGAAGATTATCTTATTTATTGGCAAGATCCGAGGATATGGATGTTATATCCCTGAAAAATAGTGTAATTTTTGTTAGACATGTTTATATGTGTATAACCTATGCCATTTCACTGAAAAGTACACTAGAAATGAGACTAGAATGCAAGAGGTAACTGAAGTAGTAATCTCACCTTGGATTAGAATGTGTGACATCATCAGAATATTAATTTTTATTACTACTACAACTACTATTAATGATCTACATTTACTGAGTATTTGTTTTAGTCACTGTGCCAAGTCCTAGTGTATTTGAAAGTCACTTTAGGTCATCATTTTGACCTCAAGAAAAGGAGTTCAATAGTCAAAGTGATAAGTACTAAAGATAAACTATTCTAAGGCCAAGAAACTCAGTAAGGGGTCGGTTAAATTGCTGAGCACTCGGAGGTTGTAAATTCTAAGTGTAACATTTAAATATTTAGTTGCTCAGTCATGTCCGACTCTTTGCGACCCCATGGACTGTAGCCTGCCAGGCTCCTCTGTCCGTGGAATTCTCCAGGCAAGAATACTGGAGTGGGTTGCCATGCCCTCCTCCTCCTGGTTGGGATCTCTCCAACCCAGGGATTGAACCCAGGTCTCCCACATTGCAGGCGGATTCTTTACCATTTGAGCCACCAGGGAAGCCCTATTTAAACATTTTAAATCACCATGTAGTCAATCCAGAATTTGGTGCCTTTGGATTTCCAGCTAAAACCCTGCTTCTCTCAGGCAACCCCAGCCAATGACTGAGGTGGCAGGGGAACTGGAGGTTGTTTTTGCCCAATGAGAGAGTCCTCTTACGGGACCCCCTCAGAACTCCCTATTTGTCTGACCAAAGTTTGTCAGGTCTGCATTGCAGCCTAAGGTTCTCTTGCCAAATCCTTCTTCCTAATCTCCTCACTCTGACGTTTTAACATTTGCATCCTTGTCTGAAAAAGTTCCCCGCACAATCCTGTTTCCTTTCTTTTACCTTTTACTCCTAACTCCGCTTTAGCGCTTGTTTCCAGGAGGACCCCAACTAGTGGAGCTGAACCAGCCTTAACATACACCATGTTCCTGCCCATGTTCCTTTAATGTCCCTGTTCGTATCTTCCTATGTGACCATCACCAAGCCATTTCTCATCTCTGGTTCTTTATAATAAAGACCCTTAAAATAAAAAGTGATCCATGGGATGGTTTGGTTGAACATTCTAGAATTCTAGTTAGAGTTGGTGACTCTGTTATTCAATCTCCATCTGATTGGGGAAAAAAAGTGATGACAACAAAGGTATTTATAAAAATATATTTCACAAAGTAGGAAACAATACAGGAGTTTCTCTGAATACAATACATGGAGTAAATAAACAATATTGCGTTAAAGCAAAGTAGAAAATTAAAATGATCTGCATGTAGTACTTGAGTTTTATCATACATTTTCTACTCCTAAATGGCAGGTTTGCATTACAAATTGAATATGCTCACATCTTCTAGTGCAGTTCTGTTTTGGAGTCTAAGACGTTCTGTGCATCATCATGAAGATCAGGGAGAGAAGTGCTAAAAACAGAAGCAGTAAAATTATGTACAAATCAGTTCCTGCTCTAAAACAGTGGGGTCAACTTGAAGCATGTTTATTGGGCAGGGCATTATGTAGATATCTAAAAGTCTAGAGTTTAAATATTCACATGAATCAATATACTTTCAGATGTTTGCGCTTGTTGTAAAAACACCAAATACTAGGATTATGAACAAAATAGAAAACAGTCCAAAAGTTTCTCTGGGAAAATGCTGCTCCTGCCATCACCAGTCACAATAACACTTTCTACTCTAAAGAGACTATTAGCTTCCCTTTGATAATATTGCCTGCCATACTCATCTCATCAAAATGTACATGTATTAAACATTCATTGTATATATATTTATATAAAACAATCTAAAGGATTATTAATGGATATAATTTAGTTTTTTTTTTCATATAGTCCCTTAATCTATAAATTACCAGCCTTAATAAATAAAAGCATTAATGGACATCAATAAAATATTTATTTCGAGGATTAAACAAATAAATTCACGCGCTAGCAGTAAAACCATCTGCCTCTTATATAGTCCACTGTGTGACACAGTTTCTCTTTGTGTCCTTGTGGGAGAAGGTGAACTGGAGGGAAAGAGTAATCCTGGTTCCAGAGAACAGGCCCATTCGAATGAGATTTCTCTCCTCCCACCACTGAGCTGGCAGTCCCCACCCTGGAATGGATTACAAACATGAATATTTTAAGGCTCGACACAATATTTAAAGATGCTATTCCGTCTCTGATGAGTGGGGCCAACAATTATGTACAATGTATGGTCAGCGTACCGTATAATCTAGGAGGCCTCCCAAAACTCCAAAAAGTCAGAATGTACAGCAGACCAAGTATTGCTTTATCATTAGTGGCGGGATCCTTACAGGTGAAGGGGAAAAAACCATTTGCATTTATAAAAATCCTCGCAGAAGACACGTATCAGCAGCAAATTTCTTGCAGGTCCATTTTTCTAAGAAAGCACCTTTTTAATTTTGATTTTTTCCTCTTTATATGCCATTCCTCTAAGGAGGAGCCAGGATCCCAATCTTTGTCTCTGGTGGTCAGGTAAATATCAAATATCCAAAGACTTCTAGACACTCCACATACTTTAATTCACACTCCACAAGATTTATAACCTCCTAACATATACTTTTTTATTTTTCTTATTAACTTTTTGGTTCAACAGTAAAATGTAGTTGAGTTTATAGATGATTGGTGCTAAACTTGCCTCTAAAACAAATAGCCACATTGGTTGTATCTAAGGGGAGTGACCCTAGAATATTACAGAATGCTCAGGTCCCTTTGATTTATTTATTATAATCCACTGTCAAGTTTCTTTGTCACTTTCACCGACAGAGTAGAGTTCGCCCAGTCTCTTAAAGCGGGGACCCCAGTCACTGAGGTAGTCAAAATTCTGGTCCGAGTCTGAGGTGGTGGACTCCAAAGAGCTGAGCGAGCCAGCCACGGACCCTCGGCCTTCATAGCCATAAATCTGAATGGAGTCATATGGTGGGGCTGTGGGGTCGTTATCTGCCTCGTGTAGCCGCACGTTTATAAATTCATCCACGTCAACACCGTTCGGAACTGGCGCAAGCCCTTGCCTTGGCATAAACTGCAAATCTGGTTTAATATCTTTACGGGGTAAAAATCCATTAATTCCATCTGGGTTCTGTAAAGTTGCAATGTCAAAAGCCTCTGTGTCTTCTTCCCCTCCTCCCTCGTCATCATAGCGAATGATATTTTCTCTCACATCTTCATCATCTTTGATAATAAGTGGCTCGTTTTTGTGTCGCCGCAGAGTTACAAACAGCACCACGATGACTGTAGGAAAAACACAAAATAACAAGTAGCCAGACAGACATATAATTTCACAAGTAACACATCGTATATGTTGAGCAAGGGGCATTATTTAAAAACTTATGTTTCCAATATTCTGGGGGGTGGGTCATAGAGGATCTTGCTGTGATTTATGTCAGAGAGTGTTTTGCCTATGTTCTTCTCTAGGAGTTTTATAGTTTCTGGTCTTATGTTTAGATCTTTAATCCATTTTGAATTTATTTTTGTGTATGGTGTTAGAAAGTGTTCTAGTTTCATTCTTTTACAAGTGATTGACCAGTTTTCCCAGCACCACTAGTTAAAGAGGTTGTCTTTTTTCCATTGTATATTCTTGCCTCCTTTGTCGAAGATAAGGTGTCCATAGGTTCGTGGATTTATCTCTGGGCTTTCTATTCTGTTCCATTGATCTATATTTCTGTCTTTGTGCCAGTACCATACTGTCCAGAGGGATTGGGTGGAGAGGGAGGTGGGAGGGGGGATCGGGATGGGGAATACCTGTAAATCCATGGCTGATTCATATCAATGTATGGCAAAAACCACTACAATATTGTAAAGTAATTAGCCTCCAACTAATAAAAATAAATGGGAAAAATGCATAAACAAACAAAAAAACGTATGAACATGTACCTTTCATGCATTCATTTGGGAATTAAGTGAAACACCTTTCTGAAGTATAGGCAGAATTTTGAGTGAATATTATTCTAGGTTTCTTCTATTTATTGAATGGTGATGAAGCTGGGTTAAAATAACAAGTTTGCATCTATTCATGGTGAGGGCTACATTTACTACCACTGGGAGCTCTGGAGTGAATAACACAAACCACAAAACAGCACAGACAGCTTGACTAACTTGCTGTGTGTCTTGGGCAGGTCATTCAATATTTTTTGACTCTGTGCCTCTCTTCTATAGAGAAAAATGAGCTGAATAGATCAAATCGAGTATGTTTTGTGTTTTTCTAATCAGTTCTTCAAGACTGTTTCCAATAAAATAATGTTCATTCACAGACAAAGTGCTATATTAAGGTGAATGTCAGCTTTGAATGGGCAGGTGCTAGCTTTCCTCTACCTGGTAAAGTAGAACTAAAGGTGGGGAAAGGGAGAGGAATGCATTTTAAAAAACACACACACACAAAAAAAACTAGCCAGATCAGCCAAATCAAACTTGGGCTAATGGCATCAAATATGGAAGGAAATGATGCTCAATACAAGATACTGGGTGAGCAGAACTGATGTAATCAGGAAGGTAGTAACTGACATAACCTTTTTCCAAGGGCAGGATAAGATGTATGAATAATTTACCTTTTGTGTGTTTTCTTACTGTCTAATCTCATTTTTATAATTGAATTCTTTAGCAGAAAAGTTACAAAAATTTTTTTTTTTTTAATTTGTAGTCTTCCTCTTAATTTGATTTTAGTATCAAGAAAACTATCTGAGAAACACAATGCAATTTTGAGGAAAAGGTATTTTTTGTTTGTTTTTTTGCTTTCATCTTATCTCACCAAATTTTGTGATTGGATGGATTCAGCAACCCAACCCATACACTATTTAGATAAAAGACTTTTTGGCCATATGAAAGCCCCCTCTTGAAGTAAACGCGTACATCAGAAGCTCTGCGGGTCTTTTTATATAACAGTTGCTGTTGTAACCACATAAAGGTCCATCCCCACTTCCACCACCATTATTTGTAGTTTATCTTTTCACGGGTGATGGAATTGAAAAAGGCAATGAACATTTCGCTCCAATTGGACATTTACTATTACAATCCTTTTTTCCCTCTTGGTGACCTCAAAGCTTGGAGAAGTAGAAAAGAGTTTTTCTTCCAAAGAATGTTGACTAGGATTTTCTAGGTCGAGTTAGGGTTTTCTGTCCTTATTTACAGTCATTTATGAACCAGAAAAATGGTGACTATTAGGCTATGAGGAAAGTACATACCTAGCAGCAAAATGATGCACGCTAATATGGCGATTAAGGCGCCCATACTGAGTCCAATCGGAAGTACGTAAGCTTCTACATTACAAGACTGGACAACGCCATCACTGCTACAGCCACAGACCCGGATGGTTAGGGTGCTAGTGCTGCTCAGAGGAGGATTCCCACTGTCACTGATTATGATTGGTAAAAGATAGACTTCTTGCTTCTGGCGGTTGAATCCATTATGCTTTGCCAAAATGCTGAGGGAATTATCTGGAAAAATGAAAATTAAAATAGTTTGCATCATTTCAAAATGGCTGCCTGAACAACACTTGTTTTTCTAGTTCATAAATCCTCTGCACTCCTCATGACAATCCCAACTGCACTGAACCACTCATGCTCTGTTCTTCTTCCCTCTTCCCATTTTCCCAATTGGCATGGACCATACACACCCTGACAGGTTTAATGACGATGGCCTCAGGATAAAGCTTTACCCTCACCTTGTAAATGCAAAGGATTTCTCTTGCAAAAATAATCTTCAAGTGTCCTTTTATAGAACACAAATTACCTGAAGTCCCCATAAATAAGTTTAATGTTCTTTACCATGACAATGAAAACTAGACTATAATTTCACCACATTTGAAAGCCATATTTGAAAAACTTTGTGTTACAAGATAGACTTTATGACAGTATGGCATACAAAACGTATTGTACACTTGATTCCCACAGGTACCTATTAATATAAAAAGAGCCATTTATGCTCTAGAGCATTTACATTAATATACAACGAAAGTCCAATTTACTGCCAATTGGAGGAGATATGCCACATATTTTAAAATTTTGTAGAGAAGACCTGTAGTGGTTACACAAATAAGAATTAAATAAGAAGTCATAGGAGCAGGTGATCCATTTTTCGTGTATAAATTATATGGAAATGTATACTGTTTATCTGGAGCAACACTTAAGGACACTTAAGGGCATACTTCAGTTCAAAGTAGAACTGACTAGTGAGAAGTGATTGGTCCCATGGTAGCCCTATGAATCTCAAACTTTCACCCCAAACTTTTTGTTGTCATTCATCTCTATGCCATGAACTGTAGCTATATAGTATATATATGTATACACACACACACACACACACACACACACATATATTACTAGTCTGTTTTCTCATTTCAATTAATGAAATGACATAGGGCTATTCAGATGGGAAAACTGATTATTTCATACTGATATTCAAGCCAAAAACAAATAAATGTAACTTTGATCAATGTGTGCAGTACTATTTGGGGAAAATGATTATTTCAGTGGGATTTTTTCAAATCCTGACATGTTTGCAGACCTCAGAACATTTGTCTGCCTCATTGTTGCATTTTAAGGCAGACATTCCAAACCATTGTCGTATAGTTCCTGATCATAGATGTCCCAGCGATTTCCAGAATACTCAAATACATGAACAGATAGATATTCCACTCAAATGATTTTTATGTAAATGTGTTAACTCTTCTGTACCATGTAGTACAATGTGCTGTGCTATGCTGTGTTTAGTCGCTCAGTCGTGTCTGACTCTTTGTGACCCCATGGACTATAGCCCACCAGGTTCCTCTGTCCATCGGGATTCTCCAGGCAAGAGTAGTGGAGTGGGTTGCCATGCCCTCCTCCAGGGATCAAACCCAGGTCTCCTGCGTTGCAGGCGGATTCTTTACCATTTGAGCCACCAGGGAAGCCAATACCAGAATTCAAAAAATGTGACAGACATTCCTTAAAATAAATGTATAAATTATATTTGTCTTTGCTTTGTTTAAGATATATGCAGACCTACAGTGTCTTGATAGTAAGCAGTTAGAGAGAAAAAAAAAATCTGAGTTAACATTTTTTTTCTAAGTTATTTCTGATTGTGTCTCATTAATTAGTAATTTGAAAAGTGAAAAGAAATCTCTAGTGGAAGTAAGCAGTGATATTCCAAATGATCTAGTAATCTTTATTTCCATGACATAGAAGGAAATGCCAGTAAGCTAAAAGCAGGAGAACATTATCTTAAAACAGATACCAAATATATAGCTGTGTGTGTTATATTTCCAGAAAGTGTGAGACAAGTTTGAGTACAGTTAATTAGTACAAGGAATATTTGTGGATGATTTCATATACCATAGTTCAAAACAGAAGATGGGAATTGTTCTTTGAGATTCAATTAATAAAATTATAATGGAGGCTTTTGTCTTTTTGTGGTTAACATTATTTATATGCAAAACTATCTTTGCATAGTCTCTCTTTAAACAATCTATAATGATAATTTAGAAACTGCAGCAGGAGTATTACTCATTGCAGAACAAAGCTATCTCCTTTATTACTTAGAAAATTATTGATGGCTCTTAGACCTAACTCATACTTATTTTTTTCTTTCACTATTCCTGGTATCTGCATATATTGCTCTCTTTCTATATAAAGAAAATTATTGACTAAGTAAAGGAAGTCCATGGGTCATTTATGATAACTTTTACCTGCTACCTCCAGGCAAAGTCAATTGCCTATTTGCCTATTAATATTTTTACATATTTTCAGTTGGTATTTACATTTATTATTATTTTATTAGGCCAAATTGAATTGTCATTATTTTACACCCCAAAAAAGCCATTGAATATAAGCAGTTTCACATACTTCAAATTCAGGTAGTTGAAATACATATTTCTTTTAAATTCCATGTTGCAAATATGTTCCAAAAGTTCTGCTTTATTCTTTAAAATATATGAAGCCTTTTCATTTTATTAAAATTTTAATCTCAATGTAGTCATTTTTATCATTTCACTATCACTATCTATATCACTATATTCACTATCATATCACAATCATTATCACTAATCATTATCTTTAATGATTAGTAATTTAGCCTTATTTTTTAAATTATTAATTACATAAAAATTACTTTTCATAATGTTGCCTTTCACATTTAAGCAATTGTGTGGTATCGATATTTTTTCTGTACTGATCATTGATTTTCCCAAGGTTAATTTTAGAGTAATTTATCTCTTACCCACTGACATTCAATTCTCAGTTCTCACAAATCAAAATTTTGTGTATCTTCATCCGTTTAGGCTCTCTATTATGTTCCAGGACTCTGTTTTTCTAATCTTGTATCAATACTATGCTTTCTATGTATGAAAAATTTATAATAAATCACGATGTTTGTTTTTCCCATTATGTTGTTCTTTAGGAATATTTCAGTTATTCTTGCTCATTTGCTAATCTCTGACAAATGCATAATAGATTACCAAGTTCCATGAACATTCCTGTAAGAGTTTTACTTGATATTATATTAAGATGTAAATAAATTAAGAGAATTGACAACTTTAGTCTTCTATATCAAGACTGTGTTTTTTTTAAATTTACTGTATGTTAAAATGTTTTTATTTTAACTGCAAGAGATTTTCACATATTTCATTACACTTAGTATCATATATATATATATATATATAGTTGCTTTAGTACTTATTACCTTTTTAATATTATATTTTCATCTCATTGTTGCTAGTGTATAAAACATAACTTTTATATGTTGGATTTAATTTCAGTCACCCTCTAAAACATATATATATTTTTTTACTTATAAGAATATATCTCAACACAGAGATACATATGAGGAGCATGATAATGTGGGGAATTCCACAGTGGAACTGGAATTACAGTGTAACTCCATGGCTGACTCATGTCAATGTATGACAAAACCCACTGCAATGTTGTGAAGTAATTAGCCTCCAACTAGTAAAAATAAATGAAAAAAAATAAAATAAAATTTATAAAATAAAATTTAAGCAAACTAACATCTCTGGAAATAGTTCTGGAGAAGGGCACCAAATAGAGAAACATTGATTCAGGAGACGTAGTGGAGCCTGGTAGGAAAGTCTTGAGTATGGTGTTTCAACCAGAACCTGGAAGCTAGCGTCTTCCCCCCTTCTCTCAGCCCTGGGAGGTGGAAACTGCCCTCCAAACCGGTCAGCCGAGAACACAGAGCTTCCTCCGTGCCGCAGCTAGCAGTTGCAGGGCAGTCACCGGTTCTCACCCTGCTCCTAGCCACCTACCGACGGACGAGAGTCTGAGTCGGCGTGGACACGCGCGGCTCCTTTCTTCCTTGCGGCCGCTGTTGGGGCAGCGGAGGCTCTACCTCGGCAAGACTTCACGGGGAATGCAGGGCATCCGCTGCGCTTGCCCTGAATTAAGACAGTGGTTTCACACTGGGACAGCCAAGCCAGAAAGACTTGAGGCCACTGTACCCTCACGTCAGGTGCCCAGCTCCTAAGGCAGAGGTGTCGCTCAGAGAAAAACGGCATAGTCTCCAACTCCGCTTCAAAGCCCGTGGCTCACTGTTTTGCCTCAGTCGAGAAAGAGAGAACCTAGGAACCTAGAAACTAGAAAAGAGCTGGAGAGGAGCCTGCTTGGGTCAGAACAATTCTGAAACACTGAGGGAAATACCCTTCTGAAGGAGCCCAGATTTGGCTGGATTAGTCTATAGAACAACTTAGATGATTTCTAAATTAAAAACAATAGAGAAAGCATCTGGCAGCTAGTGAAGTTTAACAACTTGGATGCAGTCAAGGAAAGAGAGAACTCTGCCCAGACCACTGCCCCTGCTGGTGACTGTGGGCAAACCCAGGGCTGGGATCCCCTGAGGTGAACCATCAGAGGCTTAACATTGTAGAGGGAAAACAGACTTCACTAAAATAATCCAGCCAGTTACTAAACAAATGAATCAACAAATTACAATAACATGTGTTGGCTGAAGGGTCAGTATCCAAAGTTACTATGATATATTCTCTAAACATGTCCAGTTTTCAACAAAAGATTATAAGACATTCAAAGAAACAAGAAAGCATTACCCATACGCTGGGGGTGGGGATGGGAGAGGGGAAGCGGATGGGAGCAGGTTTGCTCCATGAGAGCAAACAAGAGTCAAGTTAAACAATGACTGCTAGGAAACCATTGTAAATGTGTTCAATGAACTACAGTAAACCATTAAAGAAAGAAATGGAGGCATGATGACGATCTCATATCGTACAGAATATAGATAAAGAGATAGACATTATTTTTTAAAAAGAACTTAACAGAAGCTATGGAGTTGAAAAGTACAGTAACTAAATGAAAAATTACAATAGCTAAACTGTAAATCTGAATTGGCGAAAGCATTAGTGAACTTGGAGATAGATCAATAGAAATTTTGCAAACTGAAGTATATAGGGAAAAAAAGAAAAATGAATAGAGCCCTAGAAATATATGGGACA